ATATTAAAATAAAATTTTTTAGATAATAATTAAAGAAATTTTTTGTCTCTTCCGCTTGTAAATCAATACGAATAAATTATATTATTCTTTATTATTTAATTAAGATGAATAATGATTATATTATATTTAAATTCTTAACAAGTTAAGTAAATAATATAAAATAAATTCCCGATTTTTTTTTCATATAAAAAATCGAAGAGGTAAATGTAATATAGATGTTTTGCACTTGTTAAAATCGATAAGAGAGTTCTTGAAGAAATCACCATCAAAAACATTCTAAAAAATAATCCTTAAGCCACTAGACTTAAGAGCAGAAGATTCAGCTTAATTTATTAAACTAAATTTGCTCAAGAATTATTTTTATAACGCTCAAAACGTAAATTAAATTAGATTTACGAGTTTCGTTTGTATATTTAATTCATTCGCAATTTTATTTTAAATATTTAAAATTAATACGTAAGTAAAAATTAAAAAAAAAATAATATCTTACTCTTAGAATTTCCAAAAAATACGAGTATTTTTTTAAACGAAATTTGCATATTTAACATTAATACGAACGTGTATAATGCGCTTCCTCGAAAGCTTCTATCGACGTAACGCAACTGGTGCGTAGCGAACGTTTCTTCTTCTCTCGCTAGGTGGCCGCGTGGTTATTGGAAATGTTAGAACGTCGCGTATGTCTGACAGTGGATGCGGAAACCGGTCTTAGTGAGGACGTGGAGAGAAGACACTGCAACATTCAGTAAGTTCTATTATAACCCCTTCGTACGCGAGTAGTGATCTTACTTAATTGTTTAAAATAAAACTAAAAAATAATCATTAAATTCTCTTAAAGATTATTTAATATTAATCTATCTTTTAGAGGTGATTTTTTTTTGTACAAATGTCGACGATTTTACTGTTTGAAACATCGGTTCTTGTTTAAATAACTTTCTAAACTTGTTAATTAAGTTATTTTTCGACAATTGCATAGTTAAATGTGTTTTCTTTTTGGGAAAAAGAAATATATTTTATCTTAATTACTATAAACGGACGTTTGACATTTTCTTTGCAGTTTATTTGTTTGTCGATCGTAAAATTCATTCCAATAATAAAATTATCATTTACTCTATATATATAAAATGAAAAATAATAGTAAATTATATTATTGTTTAATTATATTTAACTTTTGGTTAGTTAATAAATAAGTTTTTCTGCATTTTAATTAAGAAATAAAGAAAAAACAAAACAGAAAAGTGAAGCGATACTTTCAGAAAATAGAAGAGTTAATTGTGAAAAAGCATCCAATTTTAATGTTTTCTTCTTGAAACTTATATACAAAAAAGGATTTAAAATATTCTTTATTTATTATAATGTAATTTTTGTTTCTTTCTAATATATTTTTACAATAAATGATCGTTTTTCTAGTCTAAAAAATTGATTTAAATTCTGATATAAATATTTAAACTCGCGTTAAAATTGATTTTTTTTCCTTTAGAATCGCGTATTTTTTAAAAATTTTAATCCGTAGATTTATAGAAAACTATTTTTTTTATTTCTTTATTACATTATAATTGTAGTCTTTTGAATAGAGACTTTCACTTGTCTGTAGACAAATTCTTTTGGATTTCTTGAATTTTGGAATCAACTGGGAATTCCTGGAAGATTTCTCTCCAATTTTACTGTATTTTCTCTGAAAACAATCCGATTTTTCAAGTTTAAATCCTATTTTCTTTCTTCACGTTTATGATATTATCTATTTAATATTAATATTTAAGATTTTTTTTTCTGTTAAAAACTTTCATATTTTTATATAAAATCACTACCAACCGGTAGATCGCGACTCGCACAGTACGTTAAATTATAGTCTTTGTTTACGTCACGATGTTGTAAAATGTTAAAAAGGGATGGACGAATGAAATTGGTAAATAAAACAACTTTCTGTACTGTATTATTATATTGCGTAGTGTGTTTATTTCAGTATTGTTTCGCATCATGTAGCAGTGAATCTATAAATTTGAGTAGTCTAGCACCCACTTGTTTTACTGATAATTGTAAATATTCATGAACCATATTATACAATAGTGTATGATTAATTATATTATTAGCCATGTACAAGTATATTTTTGTCATTAAATACATATGTAATCGAACTTTCAATAACGTCTAATTCTAAACAATGGCCACCTCTTTTTAACCTCCAAATAAAGACCCATCTTTCATATTCCCGTCATTGGCCGTTTCCAGAGGTTCTGTATGCATATATATTTTGTATTCACTGACATTTATATCGCAATCTTTCGTAATAAAGCTAAAAAAATAGTAATTATAAACTACATTTAATTAAATACCGAAAAAAATAATTTAAAATTGAAATTAATCACAATTAAATTAAGTAATTCAAGCAATTTTTACTTATTTGTTTTTTTTTTAATTTCAGGTAATTTTGTATAATAATGTTGTTAATTATTTTAAATTAAAAAAAATTGACATTTTTCACTTATTTTTCCAATATTTTCTTATTATAAAAAGGTTATTACTCTAAATTAATAGGCCTATATATGCATTTTATAATAATTATTTAAATGGAATATTTTTTATTTAGATATTTATTATCGAAATGAGTAATCGCTGGCGAGAGAAATTTAATATTTTATCGCTTCAACGAATTTCTTCCTTCAAGTTTTTTCTTTATTTACTTACAAATTGTCACATGATTCATTTGTAATTCTCCGAAACAGTGGAAGGAGCATCAATTACTCCCCATCCTTCCTACTGATGACTTATTTTCAACCACAATACAAAATCCCCTTCGTCCACTTCACTTAAACTTGTTTCATAAATTACAGAATAAAATTTTACTTGAAAATTTACAGTTTAATCGTGTTGAAAATTAAATTTCTGCGAATTTTTATTTATTTTTTGCATCTTAAATTGTCGAATACATATATTTTTAATATACATATTGATAGGATAAGTCAACACAATGCATGGGCAATCTGCCAAGTGGAGATACTCCTTAAAGGAATTTCTACGGGTAACTGGCCCCTATTTAGATATTAGTCTATGAGAAACTGGCCCCTATAATTTTGTCGTACGATTCCAGTTTACACAACTTTTACTGCATTATATTAAATGATACGAACGTTGTTTTAAGTATTATAACAAAATAAACTTTTTATATTAAATTTTTAACAAGAAAATAATAGAAGAAAGATTTTTATAGAAGCTTTTCTTCGTTTAACATTTATTTTTAGGCATCAATAAAGAATTTCTTCTCTCACTTTCGATCTATAGTAGACAATGTTGCGCCATTCGGGTCATTAACAGCTGAAAACAAAAAGAGAAATGCTTCAAATATCGCTAACGTTTTAAAAGTAATAAATTACATAAAACAATTTACTTTTTTTCGAATAATCAATGAGCTATATTTATCAAATAGACAGGCTTTCGTTTATTCGAGTCCTGTTTTACACAGTTTTAATTGTAGTACACTTGGAAATGCATAGAGACGAAAATATTAATTTTTTTAATCAGTTAAGCACGATAATAAAAAATGCGGATAATGAGGAACAGTCTTTAGAGTTTTTACTACGCTTTATAGTTGAGATAATCTCTAATATAATTGTTCTCAGGATACACACAAAAAAAGAAATTTAACATTTAAAATACTGTATTTACAATTTTAAAAGTTCGTCGTAGTATAATCCAGATTTTCTGTAGGACTCTTCCCTTTAGAGATATTCAACAATGAGTTTTTAAAATCAAACACTTCTTATAACTTCGGCGATAAATCAACTGTGGATTCTATGGGATCATTGAAAGTTTTGAAAGCTTGAATGAGAAAAGTAAAGAAGTTTACCAACTTTTTTTTCTATTCAAAATTCGAAAGGATGACAGTTCTTTAGATGTGACCAATAACAAATATGTGGAAAACAATAATAAATATTCTCATTGTAAAATATAACTGTACAATTATAAATATGATAGTGTTATTTATAGACTATTATAACCACAAGTGGGTAAAACCACTACACTAGTAATTGATCGCGGATTCACATCCTAAAACGTGAAGGAATTTTCTTCGAGTGTTACACCTAGAGACCCGTTTCCTACAGAAAAACCGCCCGGGAGACACCACCCTTTGGCAGATCGTCCAGTTGTTATATTACCTTATTCCACTTACCATTTACGATATCATCATCGGCAGAATCTACAAAAGTTACCGTTTCACGAGAAAGAGTCATAATAATAGACATTTCTTTTTAATTCCTTATCGAGTTTTAAAAAACAAACAAAAAGCATTGTATAAGATAGATCCAATGGATGAAGGGAATATTATACCTCCTTACTTTATGTTCTTTAGGCTCATAAATGGCCAGAAACTTAAATAAAGATGGAAAAAGAAGCACTAAAATGAATTGGTTGAAGACCACTTTTATGAAAGAGCTTTATTTGTTTTCGTTGTTTAATTTTAATATTATTATCTTCGATTTAAACTGATGAATATGTGACGTTTACGTTTATTTCCATAAATCATGGATCGATTTGATTAAATGTTGAATCATAATGAAGATATGTCTAGTTATTATAAAGTCATTACGTCAAACAATCATTACATACTTCTTTAATATTCCAATTTAATTATTATCATTTGTAATTGTGTTTTAACTTATTTAAATGTAGAAATTATCTTTCTTTATTGTTTTATGTGTTTCAAAAGTTGTACATTTGTAAATCTATCAGTTTTATAAATGTACAACTTTCACATGTATTTAATCTTAAGTCTAATTTTAAAATCGAATCGATTTATAATTAATTAGTATATATTTATTTATTTTAATGTTTATTTGTTTTTAACGCGTTTATAATTATAAGAACTGAGCTAATTGATTTTTGTTGAAATTATGCAGTCGAACCTCCCATAACGGCCATCTCCCAATAATGGCAATTTTTAGGAATTTTTTAAAAATTTTGAACAAAAATGCGTACAAAACAACGGAAACTTTTGAAAAAGGCTATGTCAATGGCATTATTATCGCGTGACTTTTCTGGGTTTTCTTTACGTGTCTAACAACTTAAGGGTGGCCAATTTCTCATAAAAGTACTCTTGGGGAGGCATTTCCCTTTTGAAGATGTGTTGTGTTGTCTTATGCCATCAATCTCCCTACCTCTAACTTACCAAACTTAACTTATTCTTTATGGGGATATGTGATAATGACTTTAAAAATTCGGTGGTACTAGTGACGAGAAAGGTTAACTACTGCTTTAGTGATCATTTATAATCGCTTCTAGATTAAATAAGTTATAAAATATTTTTGTTATAAGAAGCTAATACAGTAAAAAAGTAAAAAATCATATCTGACATTATTAGTGAACGAATGCTTAGTACAAACTAAGCATTCATTTGTGGAATTATTAAAAAATCCAGCAACGAATCAGATATACACATGACTCCCCTTTCTCTCCCCACCTCATTGACTTTTTACCACCAAAATTTAATAGCATCAATGCCTTTAATACACAAAACTCCATGCATTTCTCAGAATTTTTCAACGAAAGACACTTAAATTATTAAGCTATTAAAGTGGGTGGACAAAATCATGTTTCACACACATACAGAAACATAAGAAAAGCCTCCTAAATTTTTTTGTTTTTTGCATTTCTCAACGTTTTCCTAATCACGAGTCCAAAAATGTATAGTCCTTGGGTGGTCATTTTTTTAAACAAATCACCACAATTTTCCTCTATTATAATTATAAT